ATGCCAATTTTTCCATCCCATATCACTTCACCATCCACCCCAAACCTTGGCCTACCCACAGCTGCCAGAAACATTATTTTGGGAATGTGTGTTTTAGACTGGGTGGTTCTGTATGGGTCATCTTCACCAGGCAGTGTGTAGAATGTTGCTTTGGGCTTGCTCAAATTAAACCACTTTTCATCGATGTGAATGTAATCATAACAGTCATGAAATGTGGGGTTTGGAAGTGATGTGGGAGATATAAAAGACAAACAATACTTGAGTCTTTTCAACTTACCTTTTTCACACAGAAATGGCTTTATGGCATTAGAATGTCTTTTTATCTTTTTCTCCTTCAGCCACCTGTGTGCTGTTGTAGTAGACACATTCAAGCAATGACTTACTGCACGTAGGGTCTGGCGTTGGTGAAAAGGAAGCTGGCTAAGCTTGGAAAAGTCCTTAGTCAGAGATTTTTTCCCTGTATTTCCTTGCCACCTACAGGAAACATCAATAGCAAGGCCTGTGTCCAGTTGAGCTTTAGCAATTCTCCATAGGTCTCTAACCGAACGATCTGAAATCTTGAAGTCATTAGCTACTGACTTGATACAACCGTGCTGAAGTTTGCCGTCCTTGTATTTTTGTAGTATCGCATCGATAACTTTCTTCCTTCTTTCATTCCTTGCGTGTACACTAGAAATGCAGTTTCCCCTTTCTATTTCAGGACTGTTAAAAGCTGCTGCAAAAGGTACCTCAACCAGTGGTGGCAAGACAGCATCTTCAAAATCAGATTGTGTGTGTGGAAAAGGAGGAGGCAGCCATAAATGCAAAGGGAAGAAAGTGAAGTTAATGCTAACTCATTATGGAGGAAGAGTGAGAAGGTTTAATGCAGGGAAGATGGTGTTGTTGCTGTATTTATTGAGCTAAATTTAGAAGTTATTTGGAGGGAATTTTAAAAATTTCCCAAAAAAACAAATCTGTAATTTCCCTCCCTCCCAAATCTGTAATTTTCCCAACCGTGCAGTGGGATGTATGTAAGCATTAAATGCTTACACTATTTGCAATAGTAAATGATGATTGCCTTTGTACTTTTATTCATTTTTTTTGGCTTTGGGTTTGGGTTCCCACGTGCAACCCTAGGGGTATTATTGGAAAGTCTTCTCCAAATTAACCCTCCCTTATTTTGGCCAAAAGTCAAAACCGAAGGTGTTTAACGGAACGGAGGGAGTATGTAATTTTTATTTTCTAAATTCTACACTATTTTCATATAAAATAATTTAAAAATAATTTCAAACAAACAACATAAACCCAAATAGGCAATTTAAATTACGACGGAGGTAGTGGTATTCTTTGTATCATTTAGGTTTATCTCATACTGCTTGTCTGCTTCTAATATTTTATAATTAATCAATTATAAACTCTCTCCGCCTCATATCTTTCTTCGCAGAGTACTCTTCTAACTTCACAAAATTTTTTATTTATTTCTATTTTTCAAAACTTATATGATAAAATAAAATATCTTTGTCATCACTTGTTTTGTTGAACTTTTGATATAGTTTTTTAAATATGTATTCGTTTTTTATTTCTATACCAATATTTCAATATAAAGTATATTATTTCCACAAAACATTATTTTAAAAATATTTTACAAGATAAATCTAATAAAATTATTTTTATATTATTATCTAATACGGAGTATTAATTTTATTAAATTAATGGACAAAATTTATAAATTTTGACTAGAAAAAGTTAAAACTAAACAAATACTACAAGACGTATCTAGTATTGCTCCATACATTACAAATGACTCTTAGTTATTAAAGTTTAGCTAGAACGGAAAAACAAAATGGAAATGTTAAAAATGGTAGAATGGAAAAACTAAAAAGAGGAGGGAATTCGATACCCACTTATGTTTTAAATATCAACTTGATCGAGCACCAAACTAAAAACTACTCGTATAAAATTGTGGTCGGATTTCCTTAAAATAAAAATGGTGTATGAATTATAAATTTAGTTACATTAATGACAATTGGAAACGTACTTTTAGGCAACAAAAAAAACCCTATGCGCAGAGAATAGTCCCATATTGTGGATGCCTGTACAGCTCTAATACTCGGTAACTAGCTTGTTTGCCATATTACCGAACAGCTGCTAGACCGTTAGATCGGGCCCCAATCCAACGGTTTGGTCACCCAAACGCAGTCCAGAGCAACTCCGGCGTACAAGGACAGGTACCGCTAAGGCACAACCGGATTACCTGTGAAGTTATGGGAGGGGCGTTGTGGGAATGTGGTGGCTAAACACCAGTGATGTACAAGCTAGCTGCAAAGACGATGTCACGCTTTATAATATTGGAAGCGGTTTCCATTTTCTTGTAAAGGGCAGAGTTGCCCATGATGGCAGCGGCGCTTCTGAATTCCCGGCACGTCTCATCCAGTCTCACTATGGTTCTCACTATCAATCCTTCAGGAACATCTGTGAGTTGGCATATGTCTGCAAATGGAGTGCCCTATCCCACAAACAAAGAAAACATTACCAGCAAGAAATAAATTTGCATTCATGTGTACTCTGCAAGTGTGTGTGTGTGTGTGTGTGTGAGAGAGAGAGAGAGAGAGAGAGACCTTTGCCCATTCATACACCACTTCAACTAAGCCAAACTTCAGATTTTCTGCTGCATATCCCTCGGGATCAATCTGCAGGTTTAATTGTTGTTGGATCTTCCCTAGTCTTAACGCAGCATCCTTTAATCTGAAGTCACATATAAATCACCTTTAGTGTAAACTCAAGTGTAATTTATCACAACAAATCGGTCTAGACTCCATTGAGTATTGGAGTTATACGATAGCTCGCTAATCTTTGGGAAAAACGCAGAGACATTGATTAATGCAATTTGTGGTCAGAAGATTGTTACGATTTTAAAGCCAGTTCGCAATTTGTTTACTACGCCCTCCTCGCAATAATTGTCTCACTTTCCATTTTTGTCTGTCTCAAATAAATATCAAGTACTCCCATTTTTTAAGGAAAGAACACAAGACATACACTTCTTGAACTCCGCGAAAGTGGCGAAACCAAGGTGGGACACCTTTTACAGGACGAAAGGAGTATTAACTTTCTGGAGAAAAAATATTAACTCTACTTTGGACTTTGGAGAAACCAAGGTGGGACACCCTTCCCAGACCCTACTTTTGGTAGGATTCTATCGGGATTGTTGTTAATCTTGTTATTGTTAATGTTTTAGACTTCTAGATAGTCGTCATTGTAGATGCCTATAGCTTTTCGTTAATAAAATCTTCCCTTTTTCTATGAATAAATAAAAAGTGAACAGACGAATATCCTGAAACCAATCACAGGGAATATATGGGGTTTTTACTAGAAGGGAGGAGCTGATACAAGACCTTAAGCCAAGAATGTCTGATGTACTAGTCTGTATGTAGATAAATTCTAGATGCTTGAGGGAAGTAGTTGTAGTTAGAGCTAACTCTCATTCTCTTGCACTATAAAATAGAATCTTGGTGAATGTAGTGATCTTCAAGAAATGAAATAACAAACTCTCTTCTCTTTCGTCATTATCCACATCAATTCTTTTGTTAACATCTTGAAATTAGCTAAAGCTAATTCCAAGACTCCGCATCATCCTTGAAAGCCTATTCTCCATAGCCAAGAGCTTCCCTATATTGAGTGATAACAAAAGAACTTTTTTGGGTGGGAAATGAGGCATTAATTATGAGTGTGCAAGGCCAAAGATGGCAGAGGGGGAAGGGAAAAGTGAACGCATTTTGGACAGAATGGCATGATAGCACATCCTCCCTAAGATCCCACTTGTGAGACCTAGGCCCTTGGGATGCCACCAATTCCATTCCATATAATGGCAGGAAGTCAGACGAAGTGATGAAACATAATGGAAAACAAATATCCATATGATTAAAATCATTGGAAGAGCAAATGATTTACTGAAACCATTCAGATCAATACAAAGAAGAAACTCGATGGCCAATGATCGGGAAACGGTCTCCCAAAAGATCTTAAAACACTGCTGGGTGACAAGATTTGAAAATTAAATTAATTGCACTATATTTTTAAAACAAGATTCAAAGTTCACTTCAGAATAGAGAAACTGATGACACTCTGATGTGAACCCAAGACACGATACTCCCAATTTGACTGTACCTGTGGGACCCATCACAAGATCACGAGCAAAACGAATCCAAGAAAACTTTAACCTGCTCGTGAAAGCTGAGAAACTAAGGATTAGCGAGTTCCGGGATGTTCCGGGGGATCTCTGGATGATTAAGTACGATTCTAGGGCTAAAACGGGGAATCACAAAAAGGCGGATTCGGATAGTCCACACACTGGACCGTGGGACAGCCACGGTCGACCGTTGAACTCGCTGAAAGATTCCGGAGAAAATACGCTACACACGGTCGAGGGAGGTGGACCGTGTACCAAAAACAGTCGACCGTCCGGAGTCCAAAAATATGCCGGAAATCCTGGATTACAGGAGGTCGAGGAGGATGGGCCGTTGCCTATCAACAGTCGACCATCACGGGAAGAAGAAATCCGAGATTTGAACGGTCGGGGTCATGGACCGTTTGTGCGAAACGGTCAACTGTCCAGAAAGCCCTATTCTGGACAGATTAAATTCTGGAAAGCTCCAAACGGTCCATCAGGTGGAGCGTGACAAGACCACGGTCGACCATCCTTCGGTGGTAAGAGTGCGGAAATCTCCACATAATTTCCTATCTAACCCTTACCACCCATGATTTGTTTACTTGAATGAAATTTTCCACATCACTACATCACATTGACCCTTGATGGATATTGTTTGGGCAAAATTCCAAAGGAGATTATTTTGATTCAATATGAAGGATTTTACCAAAGTTAATTATCATTGTCATTATATGGTAATAAGGGGACAAGGATGGATGAAATGGGCTAATCTCTCTTGGATTTCTTGGAGGTTGAAGGGCAACATCTTGGGAGATAGTTCAAAAAATTTACAAGGATTTTAATTGATATTTGTAATTTTTATTTATTTAATTAGCTTGTAGCTTAATATTTATTATTTCCTATAAATAGACATAGTTCCTCCATTTGTAAGGCATCTCGAGTTTGAACAAATTGAAGTGAATATATTGAGTGTTCGAGAGTTTTTCAAACAAACTTGTGAGTTATTGTTTTAGTTAAGATAAATTCTTTATCTTAATTAATTAGTAAATCACACCTTTCGTGTTGCTACAGCGAGTCTCGTGGAGGTGCGAAAGTCATCAACTCGTGAGTTGTAAAATCACCCCTTACGTGTTGTTACGAGAAACCTCGTAAAGGTGCGTAAGTTACCGTGCTTGTTCTCAGAAAAGTCTTGGGACCGAAATATTCGACTTGTGGTGTCGGTTACCACGGAAAGTCTCGTGGGGGTCGCATCACACTCATTGGGTTTATCCATGAGATGAAGAGAATAATTAAGATGCCAATTGTCAAATATGCAAATCAACCGATAAAAGAAATAAAATAGCAAATTCAAACCTGCAGAAATGTAATATGGAGTATTTGAAAAAGCTACTAACCTCCTTTTAGCTAGAAAGAGCTTTGGTGTGAGGAATGGTTCTTGAGTTTTTTTCTGCTGAAACACAAAGGCTGACATGATTGCCACTGCTTCTTCAGGCTCCAAATCATCCAGTTGATTCTCAAACAAACATTCAGTGCAGATCAACTCCTCCCCAGAATTCATTTCACAAGCCACACGACCTTTTATTTGAACTACAAGATCAGAATTTATGCAGCCAATTTCCTTCAACACATCTATCTGTTAATGCAGGCAAATAGAAATTATATGTGAAAAACTATTTTTTGAAATTTTAATGGATGGTAAACAATGTTACATACCCGACCCAGGAAATCAGGCATCTGCTGAAGTGCATCATCTGACATTTCATATTCTAAACTTTTCAATTCATCCTTGTAACCCTTCATTTGTCTAGCTAGTTCGATGTGCTCATCCAACTTAACACATCCATGACACTTACTTTGGGACATGTCTTGTAAAAGATTGCTCCATTTATGATATGCTTCAACTAGATCAATGTCTTTCAACTTTAGATCTGTCATGTAACCAGTCAATAGAGAATGGTTAATAGGTATCTTCTTTCCTTTCCTTTTTCATCCGTCCCAAAAACCTTTTCTCGTTTCCATTAAAAAGTCACTTTTACCCTTACAAATTCTTAACATACATGTCACATTACATCTACTCACTATTAATCTACCAATCAAATCTTACTTTTACCAATCACATCCAAGGACATTTTTGGAAACTCAACACCAAAATTCACTCCCCTTAAATCTCTTAAATATCAAAATCTCTCATGTTTTCAGGGACGGAGGGAGTACCATATTAGGGAAAATAAAAATGAAAAGACATTTGATGGCACAAAAAATAAGATTGCCAAGTATCCAACATCAATTGTCTACCAGGTTTGACTCTAGAATACAAGTGTGAGGTAATCCTAACCATTGACACAAATGAATCCACTTTCATGTCATGTATTTTAACCTAAGCAAGCATTAATTTCTCTACCACTGGCTCATGTTTCCTATGTAACCAAGTGCAGCTTAGGATAAATGAAAACCATAATAGACATGTTTTACAGACTGTTCACCATGTGAATAAAACTATACCTTCAACAGGATCCAGGGCAGGTGGGTACTTAGTTCCTCCAGATTTTTGACTTAGAAGCTGTTGGACAGTATGGGAGTAGGCTCCAGCACTAACATCTTCAAGAAGCCGGACTGGATTAACCTGAATTTTTGCATTGCATATGCAGAGGAACTCCTTACTCACAACTTCTCTAACTTCATAATTTACCCCAGCTGCATTGCCATTGTGAGGTAACTTAATTTTGACAGCTCCTGATCCTTTACGAGAAGTGCCTGTAGTAAAATATGCATCCTCTACTGCACGCTTGGATTTAGGAATCAGTATCTGCATGCCAGGACCTATTTCATTGCTGGGTCTACCCTTATCCAACTGATTTTGCACCGATGAGGGTAATTCAGGTGTTAGCACCAATACTATGTATTTTGTAATGTTGTTGTTAAGAGATTTTTTCACCAAAACTCCCAGTAAGTGGTCATTACCCTGCCAATGGAGAAAAAAATATATTAGTGATAGTTGACATGTTAATGGCAGGGTATGTCCAGTGTAAATCAACAACCTTTAGTATGTCAAAATGCCCAGCCCTTTTTACCAGCCCACTATTCTGACCATGACAGTTGTGAAGGGAACACCAGCCTATAACGCCAAAATATCTAATTTTATATGTTGGCCAATAACTAGAATCTTCTCCATTGAAAAATTGAAAACGGACGCCACTTTCTTCAATCCCCTACACAGCACCTGTCACTGCCGCAAGTCTGGAAGCTTTTTTAGGGTGAACTATAATGTGAGTTACAACAGAGGCTCAATATTTAAACCCCCATTGGGTCTTGAGTCCCTTTCATCCTGAGCGGGTTTCACCCACTGTTTTTTTAGGTGCACTCAATGCATGGAAAACCACACGTGCAGTTGTTTCTTTTAATGTATTTTCTTGACTTGTTTGGCAGCAGCGCTCTGAGTCAAATAGTGCTGGTTAAACAGGCAATTCCATATGCCTATCGAGTGCATATAGTTAGGGGGGAAATGGATAACCAAATTTTTTAATAATGTCAGCATATTTATCCGTTCAAAGGGAAACACATTCATATCAGTTTGAAGCATATATTAGTTGTATTGGATTGTTGATATCCAGTTGTAAATGGATAAGGATATGGTAAATACATATCATATTTGTTTAACATCCACCCGAACATGCACAGACACACACACACACATTTTGAATTTGCTGTAGTGCTTAAAGCTAAGGGTCTCTTGATGATTGCCTCTCTACTTCTAAGTAGGGGTAAGGTTTGCACATACACACCCACCCAAACCCAGTTTTATAGATGTGTGTGTAGGTGATGTATTTATAGTTATAGTGTTTGATAGGTATTTTCAAAATTAGATTTTCAGTAATCATACATTACATTATATTTGATCCTCCGTCCAGGAATGATGTTCCCAGCTTTATAGATGTGTGCGTGTGTGATGTATTTATATTTATAGTGTTTGATAGGTATTTTCAAAATTAGATTTTCAGTAATCATACATTATATTATATCTGATACTCCCTCCGTCCGGGAATGATGTTCCCAGTTTGACTTTTGTTCATTTTTATCAAAAGCTGACTATGGGTATAATTGGTCTAAAATACCCTTCCTCTCCTTACCACTGCCATCACCCAGCCCCTCAGTCCCCAACCATCCCTTTCTCCGACTATGAGCCAACCCCCTCCACCATCTCTGCAGCAATCCCACCATCTCTGCCACAACCCAACCATGACACAGATCTAAAAGAAAGAAAGAGGAGAAGGAAGTTGGAAAAAGAGAGGAATTAAAGAAGAAGAAGAAGAAGAAGAAGAAGAAGAAAAGTGCAGATCTACACTTACGATTGATGCCAGCCTCACCATCGCCGTCACCCCACCTCGCCGGCAACCCAAACATCAGCGCCAGCCCCACCATTGCCACGAGTCCCACCATCGCCGCCACCATAGCACAGATCTAAAACAAAAAAACAAGGAAAAAGAAAAGAAAAAGAAGAAGAAAAAGAGGAAGAAGTGCAGATCTAGAACGCCATCGTCATCGTTACCACCATAGTCACCACCCTCTCCGCCGCCATGCCCAGATCTAGAAGAAAGATCGAGGAGAAATAAGGAGGAGAGAAGAAAAAAGATGGAGGGGGAGAAAGAGGAGAGGAAGAAATGGACGAAACTAAGCAAGATAAAAATAAGAAGAAGATTGAGGAGAACAAGAAGAAAAGGGAGGAAGAGATGGAGGAGATCGAGAAACAGGCGAGAGAAGAAAGAAAAATGAGGAGAATGTGATACTTTTGAAATAAGGGTGTTTTTGGAAGAGTTGAGAAAAAAGGTAGAATGAGAACATCATTCCCGGACGGAGAGAGTATGTAACAATACTCTCCATTAATCCTATAGTTTCTTCTTTCTTATTGGGTTTATCCCAAAATTTCATTCCAACTTCGTTTTCACAGAAAGATTTTGTCAAAAGTGTTTATCTATCCTCAGAGAATATTTAAACTACACAATTTCCACTTCATTTAAATGTCCAATTAATTATAATTTAATACTCCATCTATCTCAAAAAGACTTCACAATTGAAAAAAGCGCAGACACTTTAGAGAGTCAATTTGCTTTATTCCATCATATCCCAAAGTCAACATTGGTGGTGTATAATTAAAAAAAATTATATTTATATATATTTAAAAACAACATCAAAGGTTCTGCAAAAAAGAGGAAACTTGATTATGTTATTTTAACATATAATCCATGAAAATATGTAATAAAAGAAGATATGATTTGCCTATGTGATTGTAGTGCAAAGAACATTTTTAGAGAGAAGGGTACCTATTTCTCTGATTTGATAAGATATTTAAATATTTTAATTTAATAAGGATATTTAAATATTTATATTAAATTTAATTTATAAAAAAAGTATAATCAGAAGAAAATAAGGGGGTGTTTGTTTTTTGGCCAGAAGAGCTTCTGGCCTCTTTTGTCTGCGCCGTGCAGACGCGCGCAGATGCTGAGCTCTGCAGATTGTTTGTTTTTTGGAAGACATTTCACTCAAAAAGGTAGGGATGGCAATTCAACCCGAACCCGAGCTTAATCGACCCGACCGACTACTCAAATATCCGAACCCGAATTGAAAATAAAATAATCCAAACCCGACCCGAAATTTTTTACCCGAACCCGACATCGGGTCAGGTCGGGTGTGGATTTATAATTTTGCCCGACCCGACCCGAACCCGCACCCGACCCGACTAAAACCCGAATATTTTATTACATAAAAGTATATTTATGGATATAATGAGCACTCCGTATAATCAAGTATGCCTTTTATAATCATTTTTATAATCCCTTAATAAAAAAATGAGACATAAAAAAAGAGACATAAAAAAATTAGATTTAATCTTTTCAAAATTATTGGGGTACGTCGAATTGATTATTGGTTTAAAGTCGGGTTCGGGTTTCGGGTGTCGAGTTCAGGTCGGGTCGGGTTTTTGGCTTAAAAGGTCGGGTTTCGGTTTTAAAAGTCGGGTCGGGTTCGGGTATAGTACTATCCAACCCGAACCCGACCCGTTGCCATCCCTACAAAAAGGTCTTCCTGACATCTTCTTGGAGAAGACATTGGCCGTGTTTGGAAAACAGCATTTGGGATAGCTTTTGGCATCTTTGACTGACTTTGGCTTTTTTGACCAAGCAAACCGCCAAAACCATTGTTTGGCTAATGACTTTTTCACTTGGCATTTTGATCCGAAAAGCCAAAATCTGAAATGCCAAGGTGAGTAGCATTTGGACATGGCGGTTAGGAAAAATATTTTTTTTTAAATCATTTTTGTTGAAAGATATTTTATAATATATGTAAAAAATAAAAATAAAGTTAAAAAAATTAAATATGAAAAAATAAAATGAAATTAAAAAAAAATTATATTTATAATTCATTAAAAAATTTATATTTATAATTTATTATGAATTAAATGAAATTAAAATTTAATATTCCATATATTAAAGATTTAATTTTTACATGTAAAAAAATGAAAAATAAATATCATGTCTATACACACACACACACACACACACACACACACATATATATAATTTTTTATTTAATTTTTCTAATTTAAAAAAAATATATTTATGATATGAATAAATTTTTTTAACATTTTATTTTATATGGTATTTACCTCCCTACAGGAAAATACATTAAAATAAATGTTTGTCGATTGATATTTGTCGATTTCAACGGTTTGTGAATTTTAAATTGACGATTGTCTTTGTCGGCCAGTTTTGTCGATTGAGTTAGTCGGTAAGTTTACAGCTAACATAAACAGCCAACAGCCAACTGCCAACTGCCAACTGCTAGTATCCAAACAAGGCCATTAACCTATGTCTTCTAACATCTTCTCCATTTTTTTCTTTCTACTTCTCTTCACCACCACCATCACCACCGTCCACCATCACCGCCACCGTCCACCATCACCATCGTCGTCCACCACCACCGCCACCATCCACCGCCACCACCACCACCGTCCACCACCACCCCCGTCAACGTCCACCACCACCCTCCACCACCACCACAATCGTCCATACACCACCAATGTACACTACCACCATCAATTTATATAGCAGTCTACAGATATTAAAAAACAAATAGTCTTCTTCTTCTTGCAGACCGCAGACCTTCGGTCCACCACTTCTCCTGCAGATGTCTACAGTAGTGGTCCGCAGAGTGCAGACCTTTTCCAGCAGAAAAAACAAACACCCCCTAAATCTTATATCCGGATGCGGTTTTGGATATTGATTCTACTTGTCTGTCAAGTTCCATGTCTAAATTCAATTAAAAATGAACGGATGAAAATATGGTAAAGACACATCCTACATGTTTGCTATCTATGTATACTGTAAACCCCTACCCAAAAGGGGGAAAAAATCATGTTTTGCACTTGCTCTGACCCCCCCAAAGGACCTTTTGATGGATTAAAGCAAATTTTTCATGCCATTTTCTACAAGCATATACAAGTTACACATGATAAGTTTAATTAAACCATCAGATAACATGCTTCTAAAAAAAGTTAAAAAACCATCAGATAAATAGATAAATTTTAAAATGCCCCTCGCCTAAATCTTGTCTCATTCTGAGTTGGCACGCTTATCAAGCAAATGAAATTTTGGTTGTGGATTTAGAAATGAGAGGACCAACATCAACCACACAAATCTTTCTGAATTTCCCTAAAACTATGTTTGGCATGTGGAATTTGGAAGGAAACGATGACAAAGAGGTTTCTCTCCTTTTCCTCACCAAAATAGAAGGAAAGTTGTTTTCCCTTCTTAGTTTATTTTCTCCTCATTTTCTTTTCTTTCCACTTTTCTTTTATTTTCTTCTCTAACCAAACAAGACAAATTATTTCCCAAATTATTTTCTTTTCCCTTTCAAATTCTTTGAAACAAACAAAGTGTAAGAGGAAATGGAGTGAAAATTTTAAGACAACCCGAAAAGAGAAATGAGTAGAAAATTTTAGGACTAAGGGAGTATAAGAAGGATTAATGTTTTATAGTAGTTGTACCTAACAAAACTTAAAGGTTTTGACTTGGCCATTCGTGACTCTCATTTTTAGGATGGAGGAAGTATTATTTTGGAATGTTGATGGGTCACCATTTTAAAGATAACTAACATTTGGCAGTTACAGTTTGAACACGAAAATCAGCATTCCACTTTAATCTAAATACCATAATTTGAAACTCTTTAATGCAGATGCATCAATAGGATTATTGTAATGCTCATCATTTATGGTGATCAAATGCTAAAATAAAGAGCTTGATGTTTTAAGTTCACGATACAAACTTACCTTTTGTGATCTAACAACCACCACTCTCCCAGGATCAAGACACTTTTGTGCAGCTTGAGACTGAATTACCGTCTCTGTGATCTGTTTATCATACTTCTCCGCTTTCGAGTAAATCTCGAAGTATTCCTCAATTGCAGGTTCACCTTTTATACACCTAAATCAAAATGAATGAATGAATAAATACATACAAATCCAAACACCCAGCCGATAATGGCTATGTTTGGAAATAGCTTTTCGGACAGCTTTTGGCATCTTTGTCAGACTTTGGCTTTTTTGAGTAATTGAACAGCCAAAATCGTTGTTTGGCTAATGGCTTCTTCACTTGGCATTTTGATCCGAAAAGCCAAGGGGAGTAGCTTTTGGACTTGGCTGTTAGTAAAATTAATTTTTTTAATCATTTTTCTTGAAAGATATTCTATAATATATGTAAAAAAATAAAAGTTAAAAAAATTTAAAACTAGAAAACATTAAAAATTTCAAAATAAAAAAAAAGAGATGAGAAAATCAAAAGCAAAAATCATTAAAAAGTTGTATATTAATAATTTCTTATGAAGTAATTGAAAGTAAAACTTAATACTCCATATAGTAAAGATTTAATTTTTACATGTAAAACAATGAAAAAAAAATGTCGTGTGTGTGAATATATATATGGGCAAGGTTCCCATGACATTGGTTCCCAATGTCATGGGATGACCCGGGGGTGCTCCGGCGCCCCGTTCGTAAAATTGACGATTCCTATCCCCCCTAACCCCCCCCGTTAAACCCCCCCACCCCGCCCCGACCCAAACACATCACCCCACCCCCTTCAACTTGTGGGGTGCAATTGAAGGGGGTGTGGTGATGTGTTCGGGTCAGGGCGGGGTGGGGGGGTTTACCGGGGGTTAGGGGGGTAGGAACCGTCAATTTTACGAACGGGGCACCAGAGCGCCCTCGGGTCATCCCATGACATTGGGAACCAATGTCATGGGAACCAAGGGGTATATATATATGAGTGAGTGTGTGTGTATCGGAACAACTGTTTGCAAACAGCTAATTTTACCAAACATTTTTAACGATCAGCCAACTACTCATCCTGATGGTCAAAGCAGCTAAACTAAACAGCCATTCATAACGGCTAGCACGATGCCAACAGCTGACAACCAACATCCAAACAAGGCCAATAATGCTCACATAAAATTGTAGAATGTAGATGCATTTGCGCCAGGTAAAAGTATACACTACATAGATCAGACAGTTAAAGAAAAAGCGTAAATATAATTTGCACTAAGATTTCCTTTTAACGCACTACACATACAACATAAGATAGAAAATGGATAGTTGTGTGGCTATCTGTATTTGAGATTTTGTACACTTGTGAATATGCACAACACATCATTTCAAGTTAAATGAAATAAGGCACTCTTACTCAACAGGTATCTTAGACTGTGCACGCTTTAACATCAGAAGTTGTTGTTTCTCTGGTAATTTCTTCTGAGAGTGAAATTCTGCAAAACTTCTTTTAAGCATATCTTCCACCTGCATTTGTTGTCAAGAGCACAAGCCACTGAAATTACTGTCAAGGATGTGAGTGTAAAGAATATAAACACTGGTCATTTGGCGGTGTCCTTTTTTGTTATGTTTTGTGAATATAATGGTAATAAAAATACTCCCTCCATCCCCAAATAAAAGTTAAAGATACTAATACAGCATCCACATAACATTTGTTTACTTATGTGTTTTCATTGATTATTTGATAAAATAACATAGTCATGATCTTGTTTTGTAGAACTTTTGGTGTAGTTATTAGATATAACATTTTTTCATTTTCATACCAATTCTTAGATAAAGTCTATATAAAAAACATTCCACTTTGCCTCGTAATTCCCTCCATAATTCTAACTTGGGTACCATCTAGATCAGGCGGCTGAGATCAGAGCAGTGCAGCCAAACACAATGTACCTTGAGTTCCTCAACACGGAGTAGATGAAGGATCATGATGTAGGTCAGTCGAAACCGAGACTCAAGCCGTGTTGCACTACCAACCATAACATTTTTCAAATCCCTCTCTTCAGGAATTTCATCACGACATATTACAACAACGGAACCAATTTTATCCAGTCCTCTCCTTCCAGCACGGCCAGCCATCTGAGTATACTCTCCAGGAAGTAATTGTCTGAATTCCTTCCCGTCAAACTTTCTTAATTGATCAAAAACAACCTACCAAAGAACTGGAGCAAATCAGCAGAATATACATAAATAGGAGATTATCCGGAGAGATGGTACCTACAATTTGTGCACGTGTGCAAAGAATAAACATACATACATACATACATATATGTGTGTGTGTGTGTGTATTCCATCATTTGTGGTTGTCCTAAAATTTCATTCATATCTCCTTTACACTATGTTTGGTTCAAGGAAGTTGAAAGGGAAAAGAAAAAAATTGAGTTGGAAAACATTTTTTTGTTTGGTTATAGTGGAAAAGGTGAGAAAAGTGGAAGGAAAAGAAAATGAGAAAGCAAAATGTACTAAGAGGAAGGAAAACCAAATACCTCCCATTTTGAGGAGGGAATTGAGAGAACCATTTTCTTTTCTTTTCCTTCCAAATTCCTTGAACCAAACATAGTGTTAATGAAAAGTTAATGCGGTCCATATCATTTCTCTCACTTAAAAGTCAACCACAACTATACAATTTCAATTTTTAACAAGTGGGTCAAGTCAATATGGGAAGAAATTTAGGACAGAAGGGTTTAAATAAATAAATAAATGTGTTAAGAAATTCCAATGGATCTCTTTCCATAATCTCCGATGGAGCCAAAAATTCACCATTTTTTGGCTTTGGGGTGTGATGGAATAAATCAAATGGATCTCTAAACTGTCTGCGCTTCTTTAATTAATGAAGTAGCAGTTAGTCAAGCAATGCAACTTTCAACGTTGAGCCAGGGGTCTCTTTGGAAACAGCCTCTCTACTTTCGAGTAGGGTGCGTACACACACCCTCCCCAGACCCTACTCTTGTGGGATTTAACTGGGTTGTTGTTGTTGTTGTTAAGATTCCATAGGGTGTAAACTGGGGTAACTTCAATGGTATGAAGTTTACTTTGATTCTCTGACTAATTGGGGGAATGACTCGCGAGTGATTTGAAAACAGAATATAATGGAATGCTTAAGCACAAGTTTTCTCATTAAATGCACTAATCAGCTATGTCAATGGAAAGCTTGATCAATTCTTTCAATGATCTACACAATAAAAGAATTTAATGAAGGTAAAAATACTGCACTTCTAAGGAGTAAGGAAAGAGACTGAGAAAAACAAGCTCTTACTGTTCTAGCCGGAGCATTAACTCCCATTGCAAATGTCTCTGTTGAAAAAAGAACCTAAGGAAAAACCAAAAGTACAAATGAACTGATAGAAGCCTTGAAAAAAACCATTATGCAACCCGTAAAATTGTAAGCATTTCCCTTCCCCAACAGAATGAGGTGTTGTAAAGCACTAGCTAGGTCAAATCGTTTTAGTTCCATCATTATTACTATCATCAACAAGATGAAGCATAAAGAGGGAAAAAAAGAGAACATGTTTTTAGGTTTGAAAGATGTTTTCTTATTCATGGCTTGCAGGCATTTATCTTCCACAACATTTGTTTAACCCTCAAACTAGATCTTTCACAACCCCTCTCATTCAAAGAACAAAGCAAATTCAGATGAATAATATATGACTGATTCACTGTTGAGTACATAACTTAGGAACTCCATGGTTATAGCTACTGGATGTGTACCACTCTATATTTCCCTGATCTAACGAACTGTAGTAAACACCACTATCATGACTAGTGCCTTAACACCTTACATCCTTACCTTCACTACACCACGACAAAAAAGCATTTCAACAACTTCCTTCACAATGGGCAGCAGCCCTGCATGATGCACTCCTATCCCCCTCCGCAGAAGGCTTTGAATTCTGACAACCTACACATCCAAATTGAAAGTTTACCGGTTTACTTATAGAGAAGTGTCTGTCTGAAAAATATGAGGGGTGTGAGATTACAGCACCTGTGGTAAGTTTCGATCAGATCCCTTAAGCCGTGAAAAAGCTTTATCACAGAATACGCGGATTTCACTTTTCTCAGAGCTAGATGTGAGATCAGTCCCACGAAGATTATCAGCAGACTTATCACATCTTGTTTTTGAAAAGCAAAATATAACTACCTACAATCCAAATCCCATTAAAACACATGTTTAAAGCTCTAGAACTTGAAATTCTTTTTTTAATACTCCCTCCATCCCTAATTAATCTTCTTGATTGGGTTTGGCAAAACTTTAAGAAAAGTGAAATTGAGTGGTTGAAAGTGATGCAGAGGAGAGAGAGATGGTGAGCCACAAAAAGCTTTCCAGAAAAGGAAACATGAAGCTTTTTATGGGACGTCCAGAAAAGGAAAACAAGAAGATTAATTTGGGATCGAGGGAGTATTAACTTACAGGACCTGAAAATATCCAGAAATTAAAAACGTCAAGGATCAGAGGCAGGAAAATATGTTACATAGTTTTAGGACTTAAGTGCTTAAGTAGCTGATATTATCATTTGAAATCTTGGTGACTAATCCACTTATCACAAGAAAGCTTTTCAATGTGATTTCTTCATGACAAACGCTGAATCCAATATAACCAACATTTAAAAACATAGTGGTGATTCTTGATTCCAAATTCTAGTTATCATTTATCAGGGAAAAATATACGGGACGGATGGAGCATATCATACTTGTGTGTCAAATTTGAAGATACAAGATTGGAAGGACATAAACTACTTACTGAAAAGTCTAAAAACAAGACCGGTGCTTACAGGTAGGAGAGATTTTGTTGTCAGTTTCTTGATGAGTGATAGCCACACGGACGCTTCTGCTCTCCATTGCCCCATAGTATTCGAGCCAACATTATTGTTCTTGTTTCTCTGGGCAGTACCAACATTTGCTGGAGTTTGAGGTCCTTTGGGCTGTTTTCCTTGAGAATTATTGTCATGCCATTGATTCCGAGATCTATCNGATACAAGATTGGAAGGACATAAACTACTTACTGAAAAGTCTAAAAACAAGACCGGTGCTTACAGGTAGGAGAGATTTTGTTGTCAGTTTCTTGATGAGTGATAGCCACACGGACGCTTCTGCTCTCCATTGCCCCATAGTATTCGAGCCAACATTATTGTTCTTGTTTCTCTGGGCAGTACCAACATTTGCTGGAGTTTGAGGTCCTTTGGGCTGTTTTCCTTGAGAATTATTGTCATGCCATTGATTCCGAGATCTATCACTAGAAGCTGAAGATGACCCGTAGATTCCAGTGCCACCTATGGCATAACTTGAGTTCTTCTTATATACATCTTTGGCCACTTTAAATCCCTGAGGCACAAACTGCTCATTTTCACACACTTTGTACAGCTCTCCAGAATAGAAGAGGCAATGCTCCAAAGGGACTGGTCTTTTAGCTGTCCTGATGATAAAAGACATGCACACGGAAAACAAAATCAACAAGGTAACAGCAAATTTTGAAAATAAAACTACATTTATTTGTATTGATTCATTGTTGACTTGAAAATGAATTGTGTTGATAACTCCACAGGGATTTCAATTAATTTCAGACATTAGTTTAAATAGGTCTGGCTGTCCATTGATTCATTTTGACTTCAAATTTCATAGAAATGGTCTATCAATTTCGTAGAATTTCATGGTAACAGTCCTGATAATTTTGCATCATATCTAAGCAAAACATACAAACTCAGTCCTCAAAGGCATGTTTATCCAATTTGAAGGATAAAAAAAATCGAAAGAATCTCTATTTCAGAAAAGTTGATGAATTACTTTCAAGTAAAAACAAGCTGATCACAATGAATACTTCCATCCTAAAAATGACCAACACTACATCACTACCCATTTTGTCAAGGTTGAAGATCTAATACTGTTCATTTTGTAAATCAAGGAATAAAACAATGCCAATTTTAAAAAAGGAATCAGTTTTAAAAACCAAAGTGTCCCATTCAGATTGACAATAAATGTGTAAAGTGTCAAAATGATACTAACCCAGTAACACAAATTTTCTTTTGTTTTGTCCGACCAATCCAGTCAGCAAATTCTATTGTGTTTGGTACCTACAATAATTAGACAAACCATTGCTAGGGATTAGGTAAATGAAAGGGAACAAGAGAGAGAGAGAGAGAGAGAGAGAGTTGATATAAATCTAGTACACTAAATGATCACTGCTGCTTTTGTTTAACAAGCTTTTTGGTACAACTGCACCCAAAACTGCAAGTCCTCCTTGACATCTAGAAAAGAAACCAAGCCGCCAGCTTCAACTTATACTCCTTTCATCTCATATCTTTCTTCTACTTTTCTTTTTTGGGTTGTCCAACATATTCCTTCTTATTTCCTTATTTGGCAAATAAACAACACCAAATTGACTTTGTTGCCCTCAACCCACAACCCATTACTACCCCATGTAATATCGTACTTTACTACTCCACCTACCCTAATCTACTAACCCATTTACTCCCCTAACCTACTTTACTCTTTTTATCACTTTATACCTTTTATATACTAAGTACTAACAAGGGCAAAATATGAAAGTCAAACATTTTTCATCTTACAATCAATCTCAAGAAAAGTCAAAACAGGAAGAAACATATGGGAGAGATGGAGTATAATAATATACTCCTCTACCCCACCCCCTCCCCCAAAAAAGGCTATACAACTGACCAAGAATGGAGATGGAGAAAAATAAAATTGTGAGATTAAAATGTATGCAGAGAAGAGAAATGATAAAAACCACATAATTCTTGCTTATAGAGGGAAGTTGAACATATTTGGGGATAAACAAAAAAGGAAGTTTGGAACCATTTTTTTGAACAAAGGGAGTATAAATTACTGATACAACAACATTACCCCAGTGCCTCAAAGGCTTCCGCCCACTGCGGGGTAAGGGGGGTCAAATGAATGCAACCTGTCCCCTATGTTCAAAACATAGAGCAGACATAAACTACTGATACTTGTGCCAATAAATTGATTTTTTCTCCTTTTAGAGGATGGGATATACTCCAAATTGATAAGGAACGGCACTATATCCATCACTATAGTTACAATCCAACTTAACATGCAGTAGATTCATGAATAATTAAATAATATGGCAATTAACAACTCATCACCATCTCATAGTCATCAGATTTTCCATGCAATCAGAAACCCCTAAAATTCTGAAAACAGATTTTAGAATTTTATCTCACTATTCCTTTGAAAAAACTAATAAGGTTGCTGCTAGAACTGTCAGATTGGTTAGTCAAATCGGACACACAGACAAGCACGCACACGCACACACACATATATGATGTTTGAAAGACAAGCAAAAAATTACTCTCTTTGTCCCAAAATAAAGTTCCACATTGGGATCGACGACACGGTTATGAAGATTTTTGAAACTGTGATCGAATTTTATACAAATGAGAAATAATATGAAGCACAATTCTTTCTTTAAAAGGAAATTGGAACCTTATTTTCAGTTTGGGATAGACTAAAAAAGAAATATGGAACCTTTTTATGGGATACAATGAGCATTGAAAAGAACTTCTGAAAATAAATAGTAATCGTGTATGGAATACAGTACAATAGAGTTCAAAGAAAAACTATTATACAATGGTTCTTATCACTTTTGTTTCATAAAGTGCACTATTTGCACTAAACAAGTTCAACGAGTCAGACAAGTAGCATTTGGGTTCCGTCATATTTGACCAAATTTTAGCAAGTTATTTAGGTTCAGTCACTTTCAAGTTCAGGTTTGAAAATTTCCTCAAATTCCACTATTTTTGGGTCTAACTGGTAGCCATATTTTTACCGTCCTAGTCACTACATGAAGAGCATTGAAACTTCTACTTTGCAAGTATGCTTTTTCTGGAACGAAAATAAAATGCTCACTAACTTTGGACAATTGAGTCTTGAGACAATGGGGGTATTTCGCGAATGACATTTTCACTCCAAATTCATCATCCTCCCGAGTCCTGACTCTGTTGGGATCTTGGTAATTAAGACATTGTCTCACCATTGATCCATTGATGCATTTACTAGCCAAATTATCATAAAAGTAAGACGCACTGGAAGTTTAATGTGCTCATTACTTACCCAAAGCTAAAAAAGACACTTTTAGCTCCAGTGGCAATGGGTGCAAAATTTGTAAATAATTGTGTGGTAATCAAATCTTCTAATTTCAAGTGTCATTAGGCTTACCGTTGCGGAAAGAAGTACAAAGTTTATGTGTCTTGGAAGCATGATGATAACCTCCTCCCAAACAACCCCTCTTTCAGCATCATTCACATAATGCACTTCATCAAATATAACCTACCCTCCATCCAAAAATCAGCCATCGATTTCTTAAGAAATAAGTAAAGGTTGTAGCAAATCATGAATAAAGGCAAGGGTTTCTACCCATTCTATATCACGAATGATATCGGCGCCTCTATAGAGCATAGACCTCAATATTTCAGTAGTCATGATGAGACAAGAGGCTTCAGGCCGCAAGCTAACATCTCCAGTAAGAAGGCCAACATCAAATTTGCCGCAGAAGTCCCTATACTTCTGGTTGCTGATAGTTTTGATTGGAGCAGTGTAAACAGCTCTAGTGCAATGCTGCAACATGTTCAGTTATATTACTCAACGTTAAGCATAGGCAAAAGCATTTTTTCCCATTGAAACTTGAGACTATATAGCATTTATATTCACTATTAAGACAAAAACGTAAAGTAAAGTGATACTTTGGATGCCAAAGCAAATGCATATTCTGCAACAACTGTCTTCCCTGCTGATGTATGAGCAGCAACAAAAACAGAGTCTCCCCTTTCAAGATAGTAGATGGCCTACAATCAACAAGCAGCAAAGATGAACCCAATGAATGTCAGAGTAGAATATAGATGGACAGCATAATGAGCATCTGACTATAATACAACATCCTATTCACCAAAATCCAACTGTTCAAGGAACAAGATTTTTGATTCTTCTTTATTGTGAAAATCCAAGCACCTCCTTTTGAAACGGATCAAGTTGGAATGGGAAGGTTAGAGCCATATCAGGTATAAGTTCATCAAATCGTTCCACAATTTCCTTGCTGCCTCCAGTTATAGCCCATGCCTGCAGTAATGATTTTAAAAAACGAAAAGCACAATAAAAAATTCAAATGCATTTAGCACCTTAAAGGTAAGTATTTGATAAATTTGTGCAAAGTCCAACGTATACCTCTGTTTGTTCATGTCCACTACTGCCCCTTTCTCCGTCCAACCTTAAAGTTGAACCTCCAGAGGCAACAGACAGAATATCATCCAAAACTGATTTACCAGTCTCTGTAACGTCACCAGCAACTTCCAGCTTGTTGGCCTCAGCATCTACTGGAGGTGACTCTGACTTTATAGATACCTCTTCGTTTGCATCAGCTTGCAATATAGAAATATTATTTAACAATAACACTGATGTTAGACTTCAAATGAAACTATATTTTGCTAAAATAATAGGAGCTTTTCAATCTTACTGAACAGCAAAGGTGTGTATATGAAGAAGCAAGTCAAATTCAATCAAAGAACATTGTTGTTGGAGTAGTCGTATAAAGATGTTTTGAAATTTGAAGTCAATATAACAAGACCATAAGATAGTTTATGGCATCAAAGCTGTAAGAGTACAAAACTAACTCCAAATATGTTGGCACTTTCATGTTACTCACTTTGACTGAAAATAAGATGAAACAGACTACAGCACAAATTGGCTCCTTTACTGTTACTCTGTTTGACATAAATAAGAAACTAAGTGGCAAGAAACAATTGTAAATCAACTTCTCCAAGTGAATTGACTAACAAGTAATGTATATCCTGTTTCCCAATGATCTTGTATGACTCATCCAAAGTTTCAGAACTAGAAGATACATATGAATGTTCTAAGTGAAACTCACAACATGCAGATCTTGAGATCACATAGTATGTTCCACTGTAAACAACATCTCTTTGGTGCCAATTAATTCTTCAGTTAAAAATAAAAAACTCACTTGAAACTAAACGTCTAAACATAATTGGCTGTAAATCATGAAAGTTTTGCTGTTGCCAATAAATACTTAATGTAATTAATCTATCAATTTTCTAGTGTATAAAGCATCTTATAGATACCCTATGCTACTATAGCCACTTTTATATTATTAGTATGATTCGTTTTCGGCTGCATTATTCACCAACTTCCAAAACAGGCCATACTATATGGATATCGCAGGCATTGCCTAGTTTTATATGATCAAATGATTCAAAGCTGATAAGTTGGGTCTATCTCACCCCAAAATATCCTCAAAAGCTAAACTCAACCTAATGTGGGATACTTAAATCACACAGCTCAACTCAGACTGGGGTCGACAACTGAAAGAGGGGACAAACGGGCCAAACGGGCACCAAGGGGATTGCCTCAAACCATGGGTACCAAACAAACAAACCACAACCAGGCTGAGCTTTGATAACATCTTAAGTTGGATCTATCTGTACCCAAAAGGATCCTCAAGAGGCAAGGTTTACCTCACACTTATATACGTAGTACTCCCTCCGTCTCAAAATGTTTCACACTTTATGCAAAACGAAGTGAATTTATAAATTTCTTAAATTCATTTTATTTAAAGATTCGTATAGAAATTAAAAATAAAATTTACATATTTAAAAACTACCTCAAAAATTTTACAAAACAAGAGGTCACAAGAATATTTTATTTTATCAAATAATCAATCAAACCGCACAAATAAACAAAAAAATTTTGTGACTTTTGAATAGTGAAGAATGTAATTGTTTTGGGGGAGGGAGCATATGACTTAATAATCCAATGTGTATAACTAAGAAAAAAGATCAAGCGAGTGATTCAAGTAATAAGTTCAGCGAGAAAATATGATTAAGCAATCAATCTTTATTAACCCATACTTCACTCATTGGAGTTCATGGGACCATAATAAATGCATGAAGGTTATACAAACCATCTTCTAAATAATCTGTGATGTCTTCTTCCCAAGCCTTCTTAAATAAGTCATCGAACTGCACCGATAAATCATTCTGCGTGGATCCAAAAAAGATTCATATCTCAGTGATGCGGGTAATTTAAACTATTTACCTCATTTCATCTGCAACAAAGGCATGCATAAAAGTAATCTCACTAGTCACTAGCAAAACAAACGATGAATATATGAAATGCACATAATAAATCAATCAAGTTTAAAAAAAAGAAAGACGGTTGAAACAAACCAGTTTTGTATTTATTGTGCTCTTGACTTCATTCTGATCCTTGTAAACATTCCATGAAGATGAATGCGCCTTCATGAATGTACAGATTACTTGTCAAAATGATATCTTATAGAAACATCATTATGGATAGAGTATAACACTGGATTGCATCATCAACCTATTTCCAACAAACAATTGTGAAGTACCTTGAGATTGCCAAGATCAAGACCTTGTTTGAAGCCTGGAGGAATGGTTTGGGCATGACCCCCACCAAGCACCTCCAACACCCATTTCCCACTGGAAGCATCACCAGGAAGAGTCCTTTCCAGAGACCCATCTAGCCCCCCAGGACGAAAAGGTCGGTTGGTGATGCTTCCCCTGACAAAATCTTTGGGAGGCCCTGTAATTTGTGGCAAAGCACCCAAATCCTCAGCTCCTGCTGCAAGCTCTGATACATCTATCTACACCATCATAAAAACACTTCAGAAAGCACTAAATCTACTTGTATTATTAAATAATATGAGAAATGGTACAAGAACAAGTTGAGAAACATGTCTCTTTTATGGGGCGGAGATAGTGAACAATAGAAAAAATGTTACTGCTGCATGCCTCTATGGACTTCGGCTCCCATCTTCCTTCCTGTTGATCCTTTGGACGTCTAAAAGGTGCTTCCCATTTTGGAACAACTATAGTCCGTGGTAAAGAAGGCTCGGGAAGGATTTTGGCTCTGTCAAACCAGTCAAACTCCCACTGTCTTCCAACTTTTTCAGGGGAGAACTCATCAGTATCCAACTGAGGCAAGAGATATTTATCCTTTATATATTTTTCTATTGTTTCAGGAGTTTCCTCTGGGAATGCAGGAGGCTGAAATGAAAATCAAGTTCAATGGGGTAAACAGTAAAGGTTAGAGCAAATTCTTAGTTCCCAAATCTTAATGTAAAATTGTCAGCATGTATTCACAAAACTGACCATTAAGGACCTAATCAGTAAAGAATAAGCATTAAAGGTCTGGGGAAAGGGGGCAATATGTACACATACCTTACCTCTACCATAATGAGTAGAGAGACTGTTTTTGTGAACTCTACACAAACTCACAAAGAAATCAAGGATGCGAGAAAACAATGCAGAGAACACGCTAAAATAGTAAAATATAACCACAAGTCCACAACACAAAACAACAGAGATATAAGAGGGCCCAAATCTTGACAGGTCAAGAGGCTTCGCACACGACCCTCACAAGGACCTCACAACTTTATTCATGTGTTTCCAAGAGCACCTGTCAGAGGCCATGTTTAATCTGAGTTTCTCATATCACGTCTCTCCTCTTCTTCACCTCAAATGAAATACTCTCTGCTCTCATCACGGGTGTTGCCACATCACAGCAATGAAAGTGACCAAATCTTTCGGTCTATCCTCACTTATTCTATCATTAATAGGTGTGAATTCTAGCTCTAATCAAAAGACCTCATTTGGTACGGTGTCAACATGGTACGACCTAACATCCTTAACTCTGCATCTTCCAACCTCAATTCATTACACTTATTAATCATCCAACTCTCAAAGCTATACATCATACTACTATCATAGCCAATTGAATGACTACCTCGTAGAAATTGTCTTTCAGTTTCAAACGAAACACATGCAAAAATAAAAGCACTGAATCTACATTAATCATGAAAAAGCAAATGCTGAACCAGATTGGAATCAAACACTCACAAGAACGAAGGGGAGCGAATCAATAGGATTAGGCCGCTCCACGGGAGATAGAGGCTCGATTGTGAGGTGTCCGCTGTGCCCTGTGAACCCGACCCGAAAAGGTAGCTCCTTTGAAGCCTCTAGTGGATTCATGGCTTGTGTTTTGGCTTTCTCTAATCCTTGTTCAGATCATATTCCGCTCTGTGCCAAGGGTATTTGGTGAGGATGAGAGAAGCTCTGGAAGTGAAGCAATAGACACTCAGTGAGTTGAGCGAAGAAGAAGACGATGGGGCTCAGATGATGGTCCGTACTTGGTCTGGGCAGGGGAATCAGGGATCAGTTGTAGTTCTGCAGCTTCTGCTATGTCGGGCGGTTAGGTTTAGCTTTTAATTTAACTTCCACATTTCCTAGTCTTTCCAATTTTTTTTAATAATGTTAGAATTACAAATAAAATTTTCATAAAAATTATAAATTTATCAAATAATGGTGCAAATAATTAAAAAATAAAGATTAAAATACACAAATGCTAAATTTGTGCATTTTGTGAGTTTTTGTTTATGATACCAGTATTACTTTTTTTTGTTTCTAATTCTTTCCAAAAATGAATTAAAAGTTATACAAAATAATTTTTTTTTTCAATTACTGTTGTTGTTATTAATATTATTATTTTTGGAGGAATTATTATTATTAGTATTACTCCGTATTATTAATAAAACAATGTATGAAATGAACATCGGATAACTTGTAAATGCACATATAACTAAAATCATGCATCGAGTTTTATAATATAGAAGCATTCAAAGACCTACAATGGTAAATTTATTTATTCCAAATTAGTTTTCACACTTTTAATTAGGTGTTCTTTTCTTTTTAGTAATGTGATTGTTTAATTATTTTTATGTCATATATATTTCACATTTATTTGGGAGCAATAATGAGGATTAATCAAAACACAATAGAATAGGGTGCCACATCAACACTTTATTTCACATGCATGCATGCATCATAATGTATTTTTTGCACGTTTTCTGAGAAAACCTCAATTTACGTGGGCAACTACTACAATTCAATCTACGAGAAGTAAATTGAGGTTTTGTCATTATTTCTAAGAAGAGCCATCTCATTGTTTAGATTGGTGTAATCCATGAACCTATGCTCCTCATAGATTAGGAGATTTTTCTCAAAACTACGTAAATATATCAAAGTGTCTTATTTACTTTGTTTATCTACTTTTTGTTATGAATGACTCGGAAAACATATCTACTTTTTATCTAATGGTAACTTTTAGTGTTAATAGTTTCAAAATTACCGTGCACCATCACAAAATTATCTACTAATGTTAATGCTATTCACCCACGTTATTCCGAAACAAAGCCTTAGCCAGCAGCATTAACTACTAATGAACATTTATTTGTTGAAACCAGTTCTCTAAACAACTACACACAGGAATAATATGCAGAGCATGTAGTGACTTTTGTAAAAAGATCATTTTAACATATGGAGATTTATTAAATCCACACTGTACACAGGAATATGCAAAGCAGCATACATTCTGCTGATTATTCATTCAGACTGATAAAAAAGTGGGTATAGAAGAAGAAGAAGAAGAGTGAGCATATCATGGGACAGAGCACTCTCCAATTTTCCAAATATCATTTGCATACTGAGATATGGTTCGGTCGCTGCTAAACTTCCCAGAGCCCGCCGTGCTTAGTATCGACATCTTTATCCATCTTCTCCTGTCCCTGCAAAGCAAGCAAGCAAGCAAGCAAGCAAAGCGCGTGAGTCTTGTCATGTTTTCATAAATGGAGTTTTTTTTTCAATAGGTAAAATATCATAATGTCAATATCCCAGAAATATATCTGAGATTTCACGCAAATGCTACAAGACTGCATAATTATAACCGACACTCCCAAGAAAATAAATGTTTTTTATAATAATACTCCAAGACTGCATATTCATCACACGTACACCTCAAAAATCGAGGTATCCATGTAAACTAAAGATTCTCCTGGTGTGTGAATATTGAATTTCTAGGAGCGCGTGTGATAATTATGCAATCGAAGTACTTGTGTAAAGTATCAAATTTCGAGGAGCATTGGCATGAATTTTTTCTTTTAAAAAAAGGTAACTCGGTGCATGCCCCACAGAACGAGGGTATGGTGAAGGGCTTACCCCATGTATTTTTTGCAAGGGGTGACTTCCAAGACTAAGGCCCCATTCCGTTCAACTTATTTTTTCTTCTTTTTTCTTATTCTTATTAAAATCACATCAGACCAGACCAGATCAGATCGCATCATATCAGATCAAATCAGATCCCATCAAGAAATATTATTATTGTTGTTGCTGTTGTTATTGTTGTTGTTGTTGTTATTATTATTATTAAAAATGAAAAAGAATAAACTTTAAAAACAAGTTAAATAGAATACTGAGAAAGTAATCCTTAATTATTAGACGTCGGAAAAATTATTTTTAAAATACATTGATAATGTCAATCTAATTCTACTTTTAAAATACATTTTTATTGCTACATGTAATTTGAATTTTTAAAGTTTTGATCTTTTATATGGCTGAGATATTTTAATAAAAATACTATCTCTTCTCTATATTGATTATCTAAATTTAATTACTTTTTAATGTATTTATAAATTAAATATTTATTCTAATGTATATATGAACTAATTATTAAAATATTAAATCAATATTCTTATTTCACAAAAAATAATCATAAAATAAAAAATATTATTACATTATAATATGAATGTTTATTGTAATATATGAATTAATTGATTTTATTTTATTAAAGAATAATCATAAAATAAAAATATTGATTATTTTATAATACTCCCTCCGTCCCGGAAAACATGGGAGTTTTGATTTTGAAGGGGGATTTAAGAGGAGTGTATTTTGGTATTGAATTTCCAAAAATGTCCTTTGATGTGATGGGTAAAAGTATGATTTGATGAATAGATTATTAGTAAAAAGGTATGATGTGATAGGTAGGGTATGAAAAAGGGGTAAAAGTGACTTTTTAATAGAAATGAGAAGTGTTTTTTGGGACGAATGAAAAAAGAAAGGAGAAAGGTTTTCTGGGACGGAGGGAGTATATATATGAATTATCATTACCATTTTCAAACGTTATTATAAAGTCAAATCAAATGATTGATTTGAATTTTAAATCAAATCATATTTAATCAGATCAGACCACATCAGATCAGATCAGAATTACAAAAAATCAGATCAGATCAGAAAAAATAAGTTGAACGGAACGGAGCCTAAAACTCGTGGCCTCAATGTAAACAACTCAACCGGTGTGCCAAGACTCTCCCATTGAGATTTCTAGTTGAATACCATGTACAGTCCAAAATACATATCATACCTTTCTATTTTGTTCGTCCCAAAACAAACTTCCTCCTCATTTTTCCAATTATCTAAGGAATGAAACATGTGGCTCATAAATTTTCTCTCTACGCATTCTTTACTTTTTGAACACTTCTCTTAAACTACATGAACTTTATTTGGGGAGGAAAGAAATTTTCTTTTATGGATGGGAGTGTGTTGATGTCCATGAAAGCCCATCATGTACAAGAAAATCTTATATGAAATGAGCAAGAAATTTACTATATAACGCGCTATGGGGAAGTTAAAAATTTTCTTTTGTACGAATGTAAAATCATTTCCACATTTGATTACTCAAGCTGGTTAAGAGTTATTGAAAGCAAGGAAGGAAGCCAAGACAATTAAGTACTTACTTGTAAGCTTGGTCAACCCTTGACTGTGCGTCGAGGTAGCTTGGGAAGTCGTGACCAACAAGAAAGTAATCACCACGACCATAACCCGAATCCCCTTCCAACGAGTCGAGCAGTTGAGTATAATCATAGCTCCCAAATGCTCCACTTCTTATGTATTGCTTTGCTTCTTCAAACCGAGGATCCGGTTTAAACTGCGTCATAACTCATTATCATCAGTAACATGTAACTATGATACGGTTATAGAGTAGATCGGTGTGCCTTAGTTTGTAGTTTGTGCTGGTGTGTTTTTATGCTTTAGACTATAGCATGTATTTGTGTGCTTTTTGTCCACTTCTCAGAGTCGGTTTGGTGACTTTGGTCTATAAGAGATGTTGGGACACACACACAAACACAAACACACCTGACCGTTTTCTCTCTGTTTGCGCAGATGAGGCACTTCTTCAGCTCTTGCACCGAAAAGGAAAAAATTTTCTTCCCCAATTTCCTCTCTGATTTCTACATTAGCCCCATCCAGTGTTCCTATGATTAGGCATCCGTTGAGGGCGAATTTCATATTGCTAGTTCCACTAGCCTCCATGCCTGATGTACTGATGTGCTGCGAGAGCTCACTCCCCGGGATAAGTATTTCTGCCACTGAAACATTGTAATTGGGTACAAACACTACCTGGAAATTTACCATCATTACATCATTTTGTCAACAAAAAAAAAGGTACTGCATTGCCTAAAGATGTGTTTTTGGGACTGAAATAGCATGGAACCATATAAATGTGACTCTACCTTCAGATGGGCATTGACCTCGGGATCACTGTTCACAACATCCCCAACATCTGTCACAAGTTTGATGATTCGTTTTGCATTCGTATAGGTTGCAAATGCTTTCCCGCCAATCATGACAGTACGTGATGTTGTACTCTTACGCTCTTCCGGTCTCATCTCCTGAATAATGTAGAAAATTATTAATTTATTATTAATAGAGTCTAACTCACCCCCAAAATATTCCTAGCTTAGCGAATGTAAGATGATCGACACATCCATTCAACCAAAGATAGACTACACCCAATATATTTAGAGGCTCCCTTTTGTAAAATGTGGAAGAAAACATATTTAGAAGCTGATTTGGCCATAATAATCAAGGCCAAGTATTAAAATGTATAAACTAAATACTTCGATGCACCTTCAGTTTCTTGTAGCGATAGACTACACCCAATATATTTAGAAGCTGCCTTTTGTATTCATGGATGCGCTTGACTTGTATGTCAAACAGAGTATTTGGGTCAATGCTCACGCCAGTTACTCGTAGTATATACTGTGCCAACCTCTGCTTGTTCGCCATCTTGGCATTTTCCCATTCAGCATGTAGTTCTTCATCATCTGCAAACTTTTAAAAGTGAAAAAAATACCATGTCAAGACGTTAACTACAGATCATACAAAATAGAGTTAAAGTGATTGTAAAATTTCATGAATTGCGGCTTACCTGCCGCAGATTAGCGAGTAAATCAAGATTCGTAATCCACTCATCAGTTTTTAACCACTTGGTGATGATATGACTCAGCTCAGGGTTGCAAAACCTTAGCCATCGGCGTGGTGTTATGC